CAGGGAATAAAGTGAACTGTTCATTATGGAAGCCCTTAAATTACATTATCACAGTAGAAAATATGGGAGGTAGAGGACAACTGAAAGACTAATGCAACATTAGATTCAGATCTATAGCTCCTGTAGCTACTTAAAATATGGTTTCAAAAGTAAACCCAGCATTTCCAGTAACCATGGAAACAGTTAAAATAAAATTTTGCCATGAAAGCCCCTATCGGGAAGGAGAAAGATCAGAGAAATGGCTGTTGAATACAGACTTCAAATCCTATTACTTTTGTATTGTGCACTCTGATTGCAACTATCAATTCTAGAGATCTAAAATAATCTTGAGAGGCTCCCTAATTTATCTGTTCCTTTTCCCTGGATGTATATCATCACACAGCATAGTTTTTATTCTTGTATTAATCAATATCAACTGCTATTCTAAAATTTCCCTTTTGTTTACAGGCCACTGATTGCCATCACAGGTAGTCGAAAAATTTTCCTCAGTAGCCAGTCCAGACTCTTCCTATGTAACGAGAGCCTGTTTCTTTAATACTATTAAACACCCTCTGCATTCCTCCATTCAGTACCTAAACTTCCACCTTGTCTGCCTCTTCACTTTTCTCCTGCTAGCACCACGTTGGGGACCAGGACATCCACACATGGGCCTTGGGGAACATTCAAGATCCAAACTCTAGAAGTTGCTCTGGTGGTTTGCAAGATAATTTATGTGGTACAGAGACCTGGCCTTAAGTAATATTGAATCACACATTGAAAAGGTAATTCCTTCTAAATTATCCTCAGTTCTTCTGATTCCATTTAGGACAGCTGGTCTCATGTTAGTAAGTCTTAATGCCCCTTTCATATTTACCAACATCCCTGTTCAACACATAAAGAGCAGGCATCAGAATCAGAGCGTTTGTCATGCAAATATATCTGGTGAATATCTAAGATTCCTCCACTAACGTGTACTCTTCTGTGACTGCTTGGTGCAAGGATGAATCTACTCTTCAACTCTGAAGGTGAGAAGTAATGGGCCTTAGGAGATGGAGACCAATGAGAGGTCACTGGGGGCATGTCCTTGGAAGGACATGTGGGACCCCACCCTCTCTGGGGTGATCTTTTTCTCCCACTTACTCTCTAGCTTGTGATGCTGTGTGCCATCCGCTCCCCACCAGAGCCAAGCTGATCCTGACACCATACCCTTGAATCTCCAGCACATTTTTCCTTTGTAAACTTAGCCTGCCTCAGGATTTCATTATAGTAAGGAAAACCAAACGAATATAGTCATCAATAGAGCAGTTCCTCAGCAGCTGACTTACTGAGTTTGACTTTTTAGGATGAAGTAAACTGAACACATCCAAACATAGCAACTACATACTGTAAAGAACAATCCGTACAATGCTTAGGAGCTCTTGGTGATGACCAGGCTTTTTCTTTCTTGTTTAGCCAAAGTAGGTCTCCATCTACCAGAGAATACTATAAATTTTAAATAGTCATTACATTTGAAGGAATACAGTGAATCATTCCTGAGTCTGCTTCCATCTCTGTAACTGTCATTGTACCACTAGAAGGTTCCAATGATATGCCTGCTGATTTTACTGCTTATTCTTATTTAGATTGCAATATGCAACAGGAAATAACAGTAAATTTTGTTTTTTACTGTGAAGACTTGTTTATTTTGAGGCCCAACTGAAAAATAGTTGTGGTCTGTTGGGAGACAATGTATGTGATCTTCAGTCATGTACTACCGAAGTATTAGTGATTCAAGATTATTCAACTCTGCTGTCTTTCTAAAATATGATTCAAATGCAGAAAAAAGGGTCTGAGTTTGGAAGCAGATTCAAAACAGAGCTGGTCTTGAATCCTCCCTCTAGATGTGGTAGTTCTGTGATCTTAGGTACAATAACTGTCTCATTTGCAGAATGGAGTTACTTATACTCGTTTCAGATGCTATTTGGAAGATTAAATAATCCCAACAGATATTTCTGAGGTAACTGCTCTGCTTCAGTCTTTTCTGAGTGCTATAGGTACAACAGTGAACAAAACATAAGATTATTTTTCTTGTGCGGCTGGTGGCATTAAATGGAATTGCCTGTTTCTCCTCTGTTTTATTTTGTTGTTTTTGTTTCTTTGCTTTTCCTAGGTTTTTGTTGTGGTAGTAGTTGTTATTGTTTCACAGTATTGCGGATTGAACCTAGGGCATTTACACTGAGCTCTATCTCCAGTCTCCAGTCTTTTTTTTTTTTTAATTTAGTGATAGGATCTTAATAAGTCACTAAATTGGCCAGACTGGGCTCAGACTTGCAGTCCTCCCGCCTCATTGTCCCAGAGTGCTGTATTACACGCATGTGCCACTACATCTGGCTTCTCCTCTGTTAAGTCACTGAAGCAGTCTCACCTGGAAGTGGATTGAAACTGGATTTCTCATACCTATAGTTCTAAAATAATTATCCCCCTTGGTGCTGCCGATTTTAAGTTATAGCTAAGCTGCTAAAGGTTACTCCAGCAGGATCATATAGAAATTTGCATTGTTTTTTAATCCATAGAACTGTAATTTTGTGTAGGACAACATTTATTATTTTCAACAACTATTTGGCACTATACTTACTTTTATTCATATGTACTATTTATAAGTAAACATAATTTGCATTGTAAATGTTAGAAGGGGAGATATATTTTCCTTCTCTGTGTTTTCATTCTTCTATGCATACAAATTCTGAATCATCAGCTGTTACTTTGCTACACAAAAACTGTCTTCCCTTGAGATTTTCCAGTGGCCAAACTTGCACATGCGCAGTTCCCCACAAATAGATTTCTTGTCAGTGGTTATGTCACCGATGAGGCAAGTTGTCTATTTTTACTGTTGATGATCTAGAAAGATCTTCCTTTTTTTAAACAGATTTTCTGTCTGGCTTTATCAAAGTACATTTCAGATATGACATCTGATAATAGCAGGTAGCCTAGATGAAACAATAATGGCTTTGCAATTAAGCATACTCAGACTGGTTATTTGAGCTGATATAAATTTACAGAAAAATGGCTTATTTTCTCCTCGCTTTGGATCAATGAACGAAGAGATAGAGTTTAGAAATTTCTTACTACCATTTACTGTACCCACACAGGCCATCAGAGTTTGCATTGTCTTCAATGTAAAGGTTTGATTTGCAGGTATACTTTTCTGTGTGAGATTTGATAAGACCTGGCCTGATTGCTGATATTTCAATTTTACATTGTAAAACTGTTATTGGCATCTCAAACAGTTGGTGAAATTTCAAGCCAGTGCCATCTGAGGTAACTAAATTACAATGAAAAACCAATAGTATCAATCTTTAAAATGCATTTTTCTCTCTGTATTGCACACATGTGCATTTGGCATGGCTCCCTACAGAGCTAATTATATTGTTTTAAAACAATAATAATAATAAAGAAGATAAAAGATGAAGAAATATAAAGCTACCCAACTGTGGAATCACTCACCTGACATTCTTGGAATGCCACACTCTAATTACTAATGAATTGACATTCAGCACAGTTACCTAGAGGAGAATGTTGAAGCGAAGAATGTCCACCATCTTAATATTTCGTACAAAACCACATCTTTCCTTTTCACTTTTTTTTTTGGTACCGGGGATCGAACTCCATTCCTTGCGCTTGCTCAGCAGGCGGTGAAACCACTGAGCTAAATCCCCGGCCCATCCTTTTCTCTATGAATATAAACAGTAAGTTGTTTGAAAGATGTTCTGGATAGCCTCTGCATGTCTTTTACCTATCAGCACTTACCTGCCACCTGATTCCATTTTGCTAAAGTGCTTATTAGAATTTGAAAATCACAGCATTCAACTTCCTGCCTTTCTCCTGAATATGGAATCAATACAGCAAGAGCAAGATGAAGGTTCTTTCATGGCTGTTCAGGAGGTACTAAGTGGAATTCAGACCTGCTGATGAGTCCATTTTTAGCTCTGGCATCTATGTACTCCTGAGAATATCTCTAGAGTTGGATGGTAAATATATATTTTGCCCCAGTTTGATCTAAGAAGCTCTTGGACTTTTATGTCCACCCACCAAATTTCAACAACAAGGATACTTGTGTCTTTAAGGAATTTAAGAGCATGACTTTCCTTTCTTCTTACCTTCTGAGTCGGATGCACTGAATCTCTGTTCCAGTCCACTGTCTTAGTATGTATAGTAGCCACTGGATCAGAAAAACAAAGGAAATGTTTCACCCAGTTTCTCGTGTATCTACCTTCAGACATCATATCTAAATCCATGTACTCCTCATGCAAACTGGCGCAAACTTTCTGGAAGTGAATTTACCGTCATTTGCCAGCTTGATGCATGTACGCTCATAATTTGGCAGTATGTGTTGATAGCGTTAAACTCTTCAGAGCCTTTGTATGGAAATAATTTAACATTCAGACAAAGAGTTCTGTAAACAGTGCTTGTTATGACATTTCTTATAAATAAAAAATTAAAATTTTTTACTATTTAATCCCAAGAACAGAATTTTACTAAATAAATGTTAGTATACTATATAATAGAGTTTTAGGCAGCTATGGGCAGGGCTGATGTTCTAGAATTTCTAAAATGGCATATCAAAAATTCTCATTTTACAAAGTTGTGATAAAAACCTAAAACAACATTGCACACACAGTATGATCTTAATTATGTATCAATGTGAACAAAGAAGGAAAAAGAGTATGTATAGCAAAATGTGAGCTGTGGTTATTTTTGTTCCTTTTGTTTCAATTTTTTGCTATTCATCTTCCTCTGTTTTTGAAATCCCATATTATGGACATCACATAAAATAAAATTTCAGAATGGAAGATGCAGAAGAAGATTACCAATACAGCTGCAATATGTGTTTTGGTATCCATTCTTTCTTTGGTGAGCCATAGACTGATTTGGGTTGTGACTCTTTGCTGGGAATTGATACTGTTCATTCTCTTCCCAGAGAAAAAGCAACTGTAAAAAGGCAAGATAAGAAACTGTGTCACCTGGTCTCTGTTCTTTTTCAGCACACCACGGTTTTGCCCTTTATTTTAATCGAGATGAGGACATCACACCATCAGTATCCCAGCAGGAGCAGCGGACTCACCGCCATATGCACCTTCTCTGTGGGCTATATATTATGGTAAGGACCATGCCTGCTGGGCTTTCATATTGTATTGGATTTTTGCACTGCTAAATTTGGGCTCATATTGCATGATGGATATAATCACTAACAGATTCACACTGCGTGCTTCATTTGGTCCAAGACCTGGGCTTTGTCTCGGTTCCCCAGATGCTTATATTTTTAGAAGTATATGCCAAACCTCACACAGCAGGAATTTGTTGAACAATCCCATGTAAGCAGTGGTTCTTCCAAGGCTACATTTTTCAACTCATTTTCAAACTAAATGTTTTCTTTGGACACTAGTTGTACAGTTTAAGGGCTTTTTGCTTGAGATTTGTGGTTGTTGTTGTTGTTGTTGCTTTTGTTAAGGGGAGTGGAGGAGTTGTAACAAACACAGACGAGAACGGAAGAAATGACCTCTTAGGGCAATGAACGTAAGCTTAATAGGAAGTGAAAATGTACATTTTGTAAATTCCATTTAAAACCCATTCAATAATTGGCTGTTACATGCAGAATGCATTTTATGGTTTTGTTTTTTGATTATTGGGTAAATAAACCATAAGGCATCTCCTCGTAGTGTGTTGGGCACAGTGAAACTCCAAGAAGGAGCTGCCAGATTTACCTGATAAGAGTTTTTGCCTGGCAAATTGACTTCATATTAACTTCATTTTTTATTATGTTTTAACACTTCAAGAGTTACTTATCTTAACACAGAGTATTTCTTATTCCTCTTTCTAATTCCAAGTCCTGTTTGATATATGAACACGCATAAATGAGGTCCTTCCCACCAGCATTTCTGCCTCTGGGGACTCTTTCCTCCTGACCTCTGGGTCCTCATGGCCTCCTTTAAGCCTGAAGGACTGGATGACGTTCTTCTAAACACCCCATAGCTATACTTAATCCCTCCAAAAGCCCAGAGCTCTTTGGGAGGCCCCGTCTCTATGGCCAGCCTAGAAATACAAAATAAAGTACGATCAGTACAGGACTTCACATACTTTGCATAAACAATCACACGGTGCCCCAGTTCGGAGCAGAAAGAGCATTTGCTGCCAGGAAGCTACACACGTGGCTGGATCTAAGGGACATCCAGATGACAGACCCTAGAAGAAGTATGTGGTGAAGTTCATCTCATCTGCACTCCATCAACTAGTGAGAGGCTGTTCACGTGGACTGGAGAGGAGTTTATTTTCCTCATCACTTTCTAGGGATTTCACACACACACACACACACACACACACACACACACACACCTTAAACCTTAGTATTGATTTTCTCTGATTTTAAAAAAAAGTACAGTTGATCAGGACTCATGTGTCTAACATTATGTCTTGAAATGTATTCATGTATTTTATAGTTGTGTACTTAATAATCAGTGACTGTTACACCTTTCAGAGGAATTAAGTAAGGAAGCCACACACTCATCCCAGATCACCACAAAGTTTACAGCATAGATTATCTAAAAAATCAACCTCTCATACCCCCACCAGCCCACCCCCAAATGCAGGCTCATTCCCCTGCACTCATATGTGCTTACCTGTGGGATAGAGAAGTTTTCTCTGGGAACATGGTATATTTCTGAGAATTCATTTATATGCTATTAAATTATCTTGTAGAACTCCAGAGGTTTCAGGAACTGTGCTTTCTGATGACTGTTCCTCCACTGTGTGTACAATCACTCCACGTTCCAAAGAGACACATGGGAAATACCACATAGTCCTCATCCGAGCCCCCCAGGATCCCTCATTAAAATGAAGCATTACTCACACTCTTCATGCCAAGGGAGGCTTGCCAGCTTTGTGTACTCCCTAGCAAACCAGTACTTGTTTGGACATGTATTTGATTTAACCAGCAAATTCTCTCACATTTATTCTGAGCAAACTTTCAGAGTTGGCTTTTCCTTTGGTGTTCTGCCCTAGGTATGCATAGCTATGCCAAGACCTAAACAATGCTGGTCAAGTCATGTCACATTATATAAATCCAAGGATTCAATTGTTATCAAAATGATACTGGCTCTTGCTGCCTTCCAGACTGTCTCAGGGCCAGCATACCAGTGACACAACAGCAAGAGGTTCAGGATATGAAATCTTTTGATGGCATACCAGTGTTGTAACTGGACATTCCAGAGCTCCATGCCAAGACAGAAGAAAGCTTTCTTCTTATCATTTGCTAATTACAAAATAAATAGATCTCCTTTCCAGTATGGAGTGTGGTTGAGCTGACTCTACCTCAGGGCTGCTGGCCAGGCTGCCTATCTGCTTTGCTTGAACTCTGGCTCTTCAGTCTCACTAGTCTCCCCCCAACCAGAATCTCTTCTCTCCCTAGCATTAGGTGGTGAGAGTGGAGGAGGCCAGGAATGGGCACCTGTACTTTCCTTCCTTCCTTACTTGCACTGCTGAGCCCCCACCCTCAGAGGCTCCATTTCCCGACCCCATTGATCCTCCTCAAGCTTAGCACCCAAAGGCAACCCAGACTCATCCATGAGCATGTCTGCCTGCCAAGCACACTCCTCTCTCCACATGCCCAAATGTCTGAGACAACTCTCACAGCCCTCTGTAGGAGGCTCTTCTCAGACATTTCTCTGCACCCTGTGAGTTTTTGTACAATTTTCTCAAATGAATGAGAGGACCCACATTATCTTACACTGAATATAACCTAGAGGCCCCTAATGTAACAGTGATTATCAGGGGTGATAGTGAGTACCACTCTTTTGAGATAGACATTGTGCCAAATGCTTTTCAGGTATGATCTCATTTTATCTCCTCCCACCCGGCCACACTTTGAGATAGGTATCTCCAGCCCTTGTTACAGAAAAAGCAGCTAAAACTCAGAGAGGCTGTATGTCTTGCCCAAGACAAGCCACTGGGCTGTTGCCAGACCTCCAGGCCAAGCCCAGGGTGTGACTGGGAGTCTCTAGTATTCACCTCACCCTCCACTGCCTCTTCATGTGTGAAGATAACTGGAAAAAAGTTGTACGTGACCTTTTGGTTTTGTTGTGTTTTAAAGAAACACATTAGAAGCAGTAAGTCTAGGAGTTAAGCCGATGTGCTGAGTTGGACTTCAGACTCCTCCATTTCACTTCTGTGGGTTGTAGTATATTCAGATGTGAAATACCAAGGAGGAAAGTCTGTACCTCACAGGAACTTTGTGAGAACCTGGACAATGGCTAACTGACAGTCAAAGATTTCCCAATTTGCAACTGTTAGTTCTGAGGCATTTCTTAACAAATAATAATCTGAGCCCCTACTGTTTGCCAAGTGTTTAAGAATTTGAGTTTTGATGTCGTAAGTTCTTTCTCTTTTAGTAATTCCACTCACTCGTATACTTTTGACTTTAAAAACCAAAATTCTGAAGGATATGACAATAATATTTTTTATTGTCTCAGGGCCTTGACAGTTTTAGATAAGCTCCATATTCCAAATCTCAGTATCCCAAATGTGTTCACTGAATAACTTTTCAACATAGAAAAGTAAAATCAGCATTAAGTATGATCTTTCTTTGGTAATGCACTTCTAAATTATCTCATATCAGAATTTTATCTCCCACCAAACTTACTTCCCAGGCATAGGATTGAGGATTTTTTGTTGTTGTTGTTGAAATTTTTCTGTATTTTCCATGTTCCTTATCTTTAAAGACAGAGAAAATTTCTCAAAAACAGTGTACTCAAATTTAAAGATCCTACAATTTTTAGTCATGAATGTTTTTAAAAAGTTTTTAGCAAGAAAATTATATTTGAGGCCATATGAAAGCTTTCCCGTTTAGAAGTAATCCTGGTGATAGATGAAGCAGCTTGGACTCCAATAGTAAGGTTTTGGGTCAAATCAGTTTCTTAGATTTGCACCTGTACAGAAAAAGCCTAGACATATAACCCATTTCAATTTCCAGCATTTATTTTTCAGTAGTAGAGAATGTAGGGCTGGGGATTTAGCTCAGTGGCACCGCACCTGCCTCAAAAGCACAAGGTCCTGAGTTTGATCCCCGGTACCAAAGAAAGAAAAAGAGAATGTGGCGGTAGGATTCTGGATATATTATTGAAGGTACAACAACAAGGCTTTTTGACCAAATCTATAAAAGCCAGATTTTAGTAATTTTAGGACCTTTAGTAATTTTTAACCTTGGTGTGGAAGGCAAAATAACACCTACTCCTAAAGATAGTTGCATCTTAATCCCCAGAGCCCTGAATATGTCACCTTATGTGAAACCCTGAGGTTGACTGCATTACCCAGGAGTATCCAGACTAATCACAAGAGTCCGGAGAAGTGGAGAGGCCTTTCTCAGCCGTAGCCAGAGAGACATGACTGTGCAAAATCAACAAAAGATGCATTGTGGAAAGGATTCAACCCACCATTGCTGGCTTTCAAGACAGAAGAAAGGGATCCCAAATAATGTTCATTGACCACTGGCCGTTTCTAGAAACTGGAGAAGGCAAGGAGATAAGAGTCTCCTCTAGAGCTCCAGAAAGACACAGCCATACTGCAATTTGATTTCCATGCAGTGGGATTTGTGTTAGACTTCTAACCTACGGAATTGCAGGATACATGTGGGTTGCTTTAAACTATGAAATTTGAGATAATGTGTTACAGAAGCAACAGAAAACCCATGCACTGGAGCAAATCAATCTCTGTGGTCCTTAGTTGCCCTGCCTAAAAACAAAGGTGAAGAGACTTCTCAGGCAGGATTTCTGTGAAAATCACAAAAATGGATGTCTAATGTCCCCTGTGTAATCAGTACTCAATGCAGTGGCCATGATTGTTGTATATTCTAGGCATACCCACTTACTGAGGAGGCTAAACTCAGGAGTTTTCAGCAGGTTTCTTCACTCTCTAACCTGTTAGGCTTATTCTGGGGGCAGGAGTGCAGAGCTATGAATTCAGGTGCTCCTTGTTCAGTTCTTTTCTTCCTAGGATCTTTGAATAAATTACTTATCCACTGCTAACCTCATTTTTGCCATGGGTAAAGTGGGAAGGAATGCCCGCCTTGCAGGAATGATGAGCACATAGGAATGCTTAGAAAATGAAAGG